TTGGGGAATTTGGGGTAACCGCGGGAGGTTATCGCAAATTCCTTTTCTTGTTTGGAATGAACCTGCGGAAATGGAAATGGAAAGGAAATGGAAATGGAAAGAAATTCGAAGACGAAGATATTGCCAGGAAATGCGATCTGGCAGTGTGACGGGAGCAGCCGAAGAGGAACCAAAATCCAGGTGGCCCCAACCTTGCCTGTTGCAAAATGTTGCGAAATGGGGAAGCAGTGTGATCGGTCCAGCCACTATTTTCCAAAATCGGGCATCCCATTTTATTTAAAGAAAATACGATTTTGGGTATGCAGTGAGGGCATACTCACATGGCGACCCCAAATCCGCAAAATATGCGGATTTGGGAAGGGCCGATTTGAGGTTTTGGGCATGGTTCACTTCACACTGCTGTACCTTTTCAAATGGGACAAGGTCGCGGCCGTCTGGAGAAATGGGGATTTGGTACTTGGCTGGTCACACGGCGCCATCCACAAATTGTGCAAGAACTTTTGTGAACGATGTTTTGCCAATTTTTGAAGAAAATGCAAAAAAAAAAAGGGCATTTGCGGTCACCTCCACAGGTGACCCCTTGCCCCGCGGCTTCCCAGGCCGCTGACAAATGGGCACAGGAATAGTTTATTTGCGAATTTGGTAGATCCGTGTGACCGGCCATCTCCCCTTTTTTTTGGGACTTTGGGATTATAGGTCCTGGGATTATAGGTCCTGGGACCTATAATCCCAAATTTCCCACCAAAAAGGGTAGAGGGCCGGTCACACAGATTTGCCAAAGTCCTAAATGTACTATTGGCCTGCCCATTTGTCAGCGGCCTGGGTGGCCAAGGGAATTTGATACCCTATTTAATTTTTTTGCATTTTCTTCAAAAATTGGTGAAAATTCTTTCACAAACGGTCTTGCACAATTTGTGGACGGTGCGAGCAAAGTACCAAATCGCCATTTCTCCAGACGGCCACGGCCTTGTCCCATGCGAAAAGGTACATCAGTGCGACCCGAACCATGCCCAGAACCTCAAATCCAAAAAAGAAAGAAGAAAAGAAAGAAAGAAAGAAAGAAAAGAAAGAAAGGAAAGAAAGAAAGAAAAGAAAGAAAGAAAGAAAAGAACGAAAGAAAGAAAAGAAAGAAAGAAAGAAAGAAAATAGTAAGCGCAGTTTCGGGGAAAGAAGCTCTTGCAGTGGCCCCTTTTCTATTTTTTCTTTTCTTTTTTTTGGCCAGCGGCCCCCGTGTGCCTGCCTTCCTCTGAGGAATCGTGACGGTCGTCTCTCGCCGATGCGCTGGCATCAATATGACTGTAGCCTTTGGATTTGGTCATTAGTTCATCAGTCGAAATCGTCCTATAGTCTTCTATCACATCCCCTGAGGCAAGAACTCAAACCTCTCTCTATAGATTGGTTCTCCAGTCTGCTTAGAGCATACACTAATATTCTAGCACTTCCCCTCTCTCTCTCTCTCTCTCTCTCTCTCTCTCTCTCTCTCTCTCTCTCTCTCTCTCTCAAAATTCCTGCTTCCCGCTCTTTCCGATCACTCTTTATGCACCGGTGATATCTAGGTGAGGTACACACTTTTTCTTCGAAATTCTCTCTCATCTCAATCTACTTCGGTACCCTTTTCTTTTAAATTTCCATCATTTTTTTCCTATCTTCTTTTCGAAAACTTTACAGATGCCATCAGTCTCAAGGACGGTAGCTATATGCAGGTACGAGCAAGCACTGCATTTCCAGGTTTTTTTTTTTTTTTTTTTTCCCCCCTGTGTGTGTGTGTGTGTGTGTGTGTGTGCTCCCACGAAGAAGGACGGCCTTGAGATCACTCTTTGTGCTCGATATCTAGGTGAGTGACACTTTTTCTTCGAAATTCTCTCTCTTCTCAATCTCATTAGGTACCCTTTTGTGTTAAAATTCCTTCCTTTTTTCCTATCTTCTTTTCGAAAACTTTACAGATGCAATCGAGCTGACCTGTCCTGCCCGTCTTCACCCGAATAGAACGCCGGGTTATTATAGCTGTATTTGGCGCAACATTCGGCGGTCCAAATGCAGCGATAAAATTACCGGGCGTTCTATTCGTGTGAAGACGGTAGGTCATTCAGGATTTGTAGTATTTTACTCATTTGTTTCCTGTGGCGTTTTTCGACAGTTCCGTGGTGTACCAACTTTTCTACTCTGTTTTGTTTCATATCTTTTTTTTTTTTCTCTCTCTTTCAGACGAGGCTACCTTCTTATTATAGCTGTATCTAGACTGAAAGATGCCTCAAATCGAGCAAGTTGGTGTTCAGATGTTATCTTGTCCACACGGTTTTCATGCTCGGGCCTGCTCTGCCGTAAGTGTTTCTCACTTGGCTTACATGTTGCTTGGAGTACTTATCTCTACACCGGGCCTGCTCTGCCAGATCTCAAGATGACGGTTTCGCGAGCTAAAAAAAAAAAATAAAAAAAAAATCCGTAGTTCTTCTCTCTACCCCTCTTGCTTGATGGATTAACTCATGTTGTGGATCGAAAGGTTATTGCTCGATTTCGATTGATGGACTGAGTGATAAATATCGGCCTGTGGTTTTTCTCTCGACGTCAGCGCTTGGGTACTTGTTGGTTTTCTGCTTGCTCGACTGAGATGCCGATTTGACTGAATTTGTTATTTCGGTTTGGACGTTTTCTTAAATCGTGTCTCCCTGTCTCTGTCCAATCCGATTGATTGACAGCGAGTTCGTTTTCTGGCCTGACTGATTGAACCATCCACTTGTGAGCCTTTCTCCGGTCCTTTTCCTGCTACTCGTTCCCTCTCTTCCCTCCGCTTTCTTCGATCCTTTCATCGGCCTCACGTGTACGACCAGTTCATTGAACTGTTCCCTTTACTACGCATTTTCAGGAGCAAGCACGCAATAAATTAAGCTTTTAACCAACAGTGAAACTTATCACGCAATATATTGATGAAACAGGTAAACAAATGATCAAGAGGTCAATCAGCCAATCAGGCAATCAACCAATCAATCAGTCCATCAATCCATTAATAAACCAATCCATCTGACATGTCATCAACCAATCAAACTGTTGACCTATCTAATCAATCAATCAATCAATGAATCAATCAATCAATCAACCAAGTAATCAATCAAATATAAAATAGAACGATCAATCAATCCATCAATCCATTAATCCATCAATCCATGAAATCAATGAATCAATTGTAATCAATCAATCAGTCGATCAAACGAGTCAATCGGTCAATCAATCACTCACTCAGTCGATCAAATGTGTCAGTCATTCAATCATTGAATCAATTTCTCAGTCAATGAATTAATCAATCCCTCTGCCATGGATGGATCAATGAGTCGATCAACCATTCAGTTCATCGGTGTATAAATTCGCGAATCAGTCATCGGATCGATATTCACTGACCGTAAGCGGATTGATCACACAGCTAGTCTATCAATCAAGCTACAACATTATCAATCTAGGTATCAATGAGTCAATTAACCTATCACTTCACGAATAAGTCAGTCGGACTATATTCATCGACTCGATGTCAATTGATTGCCCCGGCGCCATGAACCCCCTATCCCTCAAACTACTCTCTGGTTTGTGATGAAGAGAACTATCGCTGCGCTGAGACGCGGCCAGCACAGATCGATCCTCGTGGTCTGCTCACGGTCTGACTTCCCACTTAAACCCTTCACCTCAACATAGCGACCACGGGTGACAACGGCACCAGAACAAATTGCACCGTATTCGGCAACGTGATCATCTTGGTTACTTATTGCGCAGAATGGGCATGCGGAGGAGGATACTGAACCGAGCATCTTGATCAATACTTGTTTGCTCAGGTCATTTTGAAGCAACGACTGCTCTGAGAGAAGCTGCGGAGGAGTGCTCTCTCTCTCTCTCTCTCTCTCTCTCTCTCTCTCTCTCTCCCTCCCAAATCCGCGCCTTACATATCTCTCACTCTGTCTGCGCGTCTGTCGCGATCTGTGTTTGTGCGTGTGTGGGTGGGTGGTTGTCTGCTGCGCGCGCGCGCGCGCGAGAGAGAGAAAGAGAGAGAGAGGGATGATCCGTTGATGTGTGTTTCAGCGCCTGTCGCTTCCAGTGTGGTAGTTGTTCCTGGCAAGATCGACAATGATCCGTTTATCATCGCCACAAGTCCGCTTCTGCCGCAGTCGATATTCTTTGGTGGACGCATTCCCAACGTGCGTTTCTGTTGCGCTTGAGTTTCTGATTCGGTATGCAGCGAGCCTAATTGTCCGAAAGCACGTGCATGGCATTGCCGCTCGACTCCACTCATTGTCTCGTTGGTGGCTTGATTGCGTCCCTGTTTCAGGTTGACGAACGCTCCATTTGCAGTCGTCTGAAAGCGGAAACGACTTCTGAGATTCGCAGAGCTTTCTCGATCGTCAGCCTTCGCTCCCAGGTTGAAAGAAGAAAAGAGGAAGATCGGGAAAACGAGTCGAGGCTGGCTCCTTCCGCGAAGCAGATGACAACATCCGACAGTGACGTCAGTGAATTTGAGTGTAGATATAAAGGTATTTTGTACGAGAAAGGCAGTGGTGCTGGAAGTGAATGCAATCCGAGGACCGCGGAGGGAACGTGCACTCTGTGGTAGGACATGGAGGAAGCCCTGGAGTTGTTCTTACGGAATCTTACCTAAGGGAAGTGCACTAGGTTCTTTTTTATGTTTCCTCTCTCTTTTGAAAAGTGGACAAGCAGATGTACTGGGAGAAGGAAACAGAATAGCCACCAGAGTTAGGCAATAGTCAATATTAATCACAGTGGTCAGTGCCTCGTCGGGGGCATGTTTGTCAGAACTACGACATGATTTGAGAACTGTTAGAGAGGGCAAGAGTGCTGTAAGGAGAGGAAGCGGAGAGGGAGAGTGAGAGCGAGGAACTGGGAGGAGGAGGAGTAAGATCGAAAGTCATGCGAGCAGTGCGAAAGAAAGGACGTATAGCAACTCGCAAAGGAACAGATTCTCAATCGCAAAATAGTTCAGTAGACAGTTGAAATGTTCGCCGCCAAGCTATTGCGGAGAAAAGGAGGACTAGGAAACGATGGGGAGAGAAGGAACGTAATGGCTGGGACGCTGACGCCACGTGGCAAAGCGATCGGGCCCGGTACATCTTCTTCGCGGGTTAAGCTGGAACGTGCTAACGCGCCTCCTCGCATTGCGATTGACCTCGGTACTTCGTCTTGTTCGGTGGCGGTGTGTCAGAATGGGGTGGTCCGTGTCATACCGGACTCGTCGGGGAAGCTCTCGACTCCATCCCTTATCGCATTCACGGACAGGAAACGTTTAGTGGGAGGGCAAGCACAGAGTCAGGTGCTGCGTAAACCCGAAAACTTGCTTTACGAGGTGAAACGCCTTATCGGACGCGATTACGACTCGATTACAGAGGAGGAGAAGAAATGGTGGTCGTTCACCGTCCTTAAGGGAGAATCCGGCGAGGCGTTGCTGGAAGTGAAGAGTGAATTACTGTCTTCTTTAATCAGCAACCGTGGAAATCAGGTCAGCGCAAGTAGTGAGAGTCAGTTTCAGCACAAAGAGGTCTGCACTTCTGAAGCACAGGAAGCGGGGCCTTGTGTGCAAGATGATGGCAAGAGGCGCTTAGCGCCTGAGCAGATTTTAGGGATGCTTCTGGCAAAAATGAAGAGTGATGCCGAGACGTTTCTCGGGTGCAAAGAGCTGGAGGCGGCAGTCATTACCGTTCCAGCACTCTACTCCGATAGGCAGCGATCAGCGACCAAACTGGCGGCCGAGATCGCTGGTTTTAAAGATGTGCAATTAGTGAGTGAATCGACAGCGGCTGCTTTGTGCTACGCCGAGCATGCGGGACTTACCTCCTCAGGCCGCAGCGACGGTGTCGCTGAAGAATGTCAACTGGGCGAAGAAGATCATCCGCGAGGCGTGAAGCTGCTCATGATCGCGCTGGGTGGAGGTAACTTTGAAGTTGCCGTCGTTACTATCGTCGGGGGGTCGCTCACCGTGGACTCCGTGAACGGCAATCCAAGTCTCGGAGGCATGGATTTCGACCACAAAATGATGGAACTGATACTCCATCGCGTGCGAGAGCAGTTTGGTCCGACTCCGGCGATAAACGCCAGCACGTTGTGCGGACTGAAGACGGCGAGTGAAAAAGCGAAAGAAGATCTGAGTACCCTACAGGACGTCCTGGTTGACGTTGAGTTCCTCCTCGGCGGCGATAACGACAACAAGGTAAGCATCCGCCGAGCTGAATTTGAGAAAAGGTGTAAGAGTTTGCTGGACGAGTGCATGGATTGCGTCCGTCGACTCTTAAAGGACACGAAGACTAAGAATAACGAGGTGAGCGACGCTGTGTTTGTCGGTGGGTCAGCACGCATTCCAAAGGTCTTCCAGAAGTTTAACAAGGTCTTCCACTTGGAGCCAAAGGCGCACCCTTGTCAAGACGAAGCCATTGTGCGAGGCGCAGCGCTCTTTGCTGTTTGGAGCCAACAGGTTACAGAGACACATGCGACAATCATTGAGTATTATGATCGGAGAGAAAGGACTAACTTCTATTTTCAACAGCGCAAGAGGCCGGTTAGCCACGTATTGCCGGCTCTCAGTTTTTGGACGCGTGATCCACAGGATGATCAGATGTGTCTGGAGTTATTTGAGCGGAGAGGAGACAAAGGAGAAGTGGTACGAGTTGGCAAAATATTTGTGAGAGTAGGGAAGCATAACGTCAGCCCTCTTCTCCCTCTTCTGACCATTGACCGATGCGGGATGATGGGCCTTGACGAGGGGCAGAGTTCACTCCCTGCCGTGTTTCATAAGTCCGGGCAACGATCTCCGGATGAGATCTCTGGTTGGAGGCAGCTTGCCGAGAAGCTCAGTGTGTACGAGCGCAGAGTCGCAGAGATGAGCAGCGCGAGGAACCAATGGAATATTTACATCAGCGAAGTGGAGAAGAGGGAGTCTTCGTGCCCGCGCTGGTTGTGGACTACTATATTGGAATGGAAGCGTGAGATTGAGCGATGGCTTGCAATGGAGGCAGGGAGTGGTCGTGTGGGGATCGAGCAATTCACCGCGCGGTTTAGCGGCTTCCAAAGGGCGTGCCAGTATGCCTTCGGAGATTTGTGGGCGAGGTCGATATCGGGCAAAAGGTTGCTATTGGTCGATTGCTGGGAGTCGAACGACGTTGATGTGTGCCTGCGGAATCTGGAGAAGGCAACGCTGGATTTCTGTGACGTGGTCATCTCCGTGCCGCTCAAGGATCATCGCAAGACAAAGGAGCGGATCATCGAGGGAAAGGGAATCGAATTCGCCGCACACAGCTTTTTGTCCAATGCTACTCCGGCCACCGTAAAGGATAACGGAATCCCTTACGTCGTACTCTCGTCAGGTCCTGTGCGGCTTCCCGGCGATGGTGATGTTCTTTGCTTGGAATGGAACAAGCTTGTTGGTATGCTGGTATCGCGAGCAGTGCAAGTTGGTCTTCAGGTCGTGCTGTGCCTCGAACAAGATGGTTATCGAGACGAGCCGAGCAGCTCCTTGCCTTATGCTGTCGACGACGAGAATCGTCGCTGTGAAGCGCAGCTCAAGGCCCTTCTACAATCTATCGGCCCGTCGAACTGGCGAAACATAACTATAGCATATCTCCCTCCACCTAATTTGTGTTGGGCAAAGGAATTGCCTAGAAAGGAAGCCGCTAACCCGCAGCAGAGTGGCGTACTTCCACGGAAGAATGACGTACTCGACACGGTACTTCCGCAAAGGAATGAAGTACTCGACACGGTACTTCCACGGAAGAATGACGTACTCGACACGGTACTTCCACGGAAGAATGACGTACTCGACACGGTTCGGCACATACGAAAGGTGATCGGCGACTTTGTGAGTGCGGAAGCTGCCAAGACAACGCGCATACTCACTGGTGGAGGCGCGGCTCTGGAGCTGTGGAATGTCCTAATGGAGCAGGATGAGATTGACGGCTTTCTTTTGGAAGGTGGGTTTCGTGACTCTCGCCTCCTTAAGAGACTCCATCAGCCCACTAGAGAGGGGACGAGCAAAGCCTTACTCTGTCGCGCAGCAGATGGAGATGCCATTCTGGACCAGCGTAACATGGAGTGTATGCACAACGTCAGCCGGGACCTGATGGCTGGAGAAGAGGTGGACTGGATACCCGTGAAGTACAAAGTGACAGAAATTAATTTTGGAGTGCATCGCGATGAAGGGACTGGTTCCATTGGGATGGTTTGGAAGGGAGGTGCGATTGTTCAGGACGACAACAACAACAAGGGGAAAAACCGGCGGAGGGTGAAGATCGTCCCTATTTTTGAGCTATGGGATGGAGAGAAGCTACAAGAGGGAATAGAGAAGCAGCTTTCACCCTGGAGAGAGGAGATCAAGCGAACTGACGATGAAGGGGAGAAACTTGTCCTCGAATACCGGCCTGTATCGTGTGTGGACATGGCAGGTAATCTTCCTGTGGTCATAGAGACCGCTCACGCCCTCATCAGAAGGTGGGTTTTGACAAACACCAGCCCCGAGGTGGCACGAGCGGTGCGTATCGTTTGTTCCTTAGACGGGCTGCCGCCAGAAACGTACAGGGAAATCACGAGGAATCCGAATGTAGATGGCGCAAGCCTGCGACTTGATTCCGCGGGAGATGCACAAGTGTCAGCAGGAAGTGCGCCAGCCAATGAATCGCAGCTTGCTGAGAGGCTCACTGTCAGGAGCGCAAGGCACCAATGGAAGAAGTACATCGACGAAGTGGAGAAGAAGGAGTCTTCCTGCCAACGCTGGCTGTGGAGTGTTATATTGGAACGGAAGCGTGACATGGAGCGATGGCTTGGGAGGAAGGAGGTGGAAGGTGGCTGCGTCGAGAGAGAGCAATTTACCTCCCGGTTTGCTGAATTCCGGAGGGCGTGCGAATATGCATTCGGAGCCTTGTGGGGAAGGTCGATGTCGGGAAAGAAGTTCTTGATTGTTGATTGTTGGTACTCTAGCGAAATTAAGCAATGCCTGCAGAATCTTGTAGGGAGCAGAGGTCGGGATCGGGATCTCTGTGACGTCGTCATCTCCATGCCCCTCAAGGATCTTCGCAAGACAAAGGAGCGTATTGCGAAAACGGAGGGTATCAGACTAGCCGTCCTGAGCCTTTCACCCCACGCCACTCCAGATGCCTTGGCACAAAGTGGCATTCCGTACGTGCTGCTCAAGGCAGGGCCCGCTGTAATGGATTCTGGCGAGAGAGAGCACCTTTGTTCTGGGTGGAACAAGATTGTTGGTGACCAGGTGTCCCTAGCTTTGCAAGCCGGTCTTCACGTAGTGCTGTGCATTGGCCGAAATGAGTGCGACTATTTGGAAGTCAGCAATGAGGCTCGGGCTTCCGAATTGGAGGAGGAGAAGCGCCATTGCGAAGCGCAAATCCGGGACATTGTCAGTCGCGTTGGCAAGGATTTCCGCAACATAGCTGTTGCTTACCTTCCTCCATCGCATGTGCTACCTGCAGCGACGACGGAAGCCACAATCGAAGCAGCAGCGACGACGGAAGCCACAATAGAAGCAGCAGCGACCTTAGCGACAACCGAAGCAGCAACCAAAGCGGCTGAGGCAACAAGCCGGCCGCAGTGGGATGCAAGCGAGACGGCTCGGCACATAAGATGTGTGATTAAGGATCTGGTGAGTGCAGAAGCGGCCGAGGAAACACGCATCCTTATCGGCAGATGCGAGGAGGAGGAGTCGTGGGACACCTTCATAAATTTGCGGCATGAAATAGACGGCTTTCTTCTTGTGGCGGGGCTCCGAGACCCTCTTTTCTTCGACAAACTCGTCCGTAAAGGGGGCCCAAGCGAGAAGATTCGTCGGGAAAGAAAGGGCAAAGTATTGCTCTGTGGCCTGCAGGACGAAAATGCGACCCTCAGTATGTATGACGTGATCTGGCTGAGCGCCATCACAGAGAAGCTGATGGGCGCAGAAGAAGTAGTCTGGATAAAGACGAAGCACATACCGACTCTGGCAGTGAGTTCAGGAACGAGTATGATTACGGAAATCAACGGCACCTACGCATTCCTCTGGAAGGGGGGTCATGTCACAACTGACTACAGCGGAGAGGTGGAAGAGGCACGTAAGGCGAAGATCTTCCCCATTTTGGAGTCGCACAACGATAGCCGTGGACAGGAAGTAGCAGAGGCGCTATCCCCGCAGCTCTCGGCGTTGTGGAAGGAGCTGGAGGTGAAAAAGGATAGCGACTGGTCAGGGCTTCTTCTTGAGTACAGGCCTGCAGATGGTGTGAACAGCGCAGATTCGCTTCTTGAGGCCGTGGAGAGAGCTCACGCACACATACGGGGATGGCTTCTTGAGAACTTCGGTGCAGAGGCAGCGCAGGAGGTGCGGATCGTATGCTTTCTCGAAGACGAGCTGGAGTCAGAGACACGTCGCCAAATCGTCCATCTGCCCAATGTAGACGGAGTAAGTCTGCATCTTCCCGATAGACGAACAGTCCGTAGAACGGGTCTCGCCGCCTAGAGTCTTCCCCCGAATAACCCCCGAATAAAACGTACGGTAATTATAGCTGAATCTGGTGTATCTTTCAGTGTAAAAGATAGTCAATTTAGTGTGATAGTCAAAGCTTTTAGCGCTGTTTGATGAGCCCGCGTAGGATTAGGTAGTTGGTTAGGTAAAGGCTGACCAAGCGGATGATGCTTAGCTGGTCGTTTCGGATGATCAGCCACACTGCGACTGAGACACGGCCCAGACTCCTACGGGAGGCAGCAGTGGGGAATCTTGGACAATGGGCGAAAGCCTGATCCAGCATGGCGCGTGAGTGAAGAAGGGGTTTTATCTTGTAAAGCTCTTTCATCGGTAGTGAGATTAATTCAGCTATAATGACCGTACGTTGTATGTGGAGGAAGACTGTAAATGCAGCTTAGACCTCGGCTAGTTATACTTAGCCCCTGCTGTGCATCATTTGGCTCTCTGAGCCTCTCCCTCAGCCGCCTGATGACAGAAGTAACTCTGCCGAATCTCATATGTTAATATGGTGAATTTTAGAAACGCAAACACATTTGCAAAAATAATAATAAACACATTGATTGGTGTTCTTTTCCATTGCACGGAGGACACCTCCCAACTGTCTTCGATTTCTTGGTATGTACCTATACTATGTATAGACAAAGGGAACTCTCCCAGTGCGTAGTGCAAGGAATGAACAGAACAGACCTTTCCGCTGTGGCCCCCCCTAAGTGCGAATGTTTATTTCGTTGCCCTGAAAAGGGGTTGAATGGCTGTAGTAGGGGGCTAACCCGCTACCGTCTTCACCCGAATAGAACGCCCGGTAATTATCGCTGCATCGGGACTGAAAGTTGGGCCAAATGCAGCTATAATGACCAGGCGTTCTATTCGGGTGAAGTCGGTAGCGTGGGGGATGCTGTATGCGCGAGCTACCGTACATCGGGTACTAAATGACTCACTGGCCCAGGGTAGGATAATCAGTGTGTGTGTGGATGGTTCATAATTGAAGGGAGGATGAGGGAAAGGGGACACGTACAGCCGGTATGCAATACTCTGGTGGAAACAGCTTGGTACTGTCATTCTCTGCCCATTGGAGGGCATGGACTTCATGATTCTTGTGGGTTTTCCGCAGGTGCAGATCAAACTCATCAAACCAACATGGTGACGGATGGACTCGGGGTTAGAGGCACTATATGAAGGAGGAATCTCTCTGTTGGGTTATTTTTGGGTGGTGACGATGGACTTGTGTTATAATTATTGGTAAATTATAATTATTGGTAAAAGCAAGGTTGAGTGAGTTGTTGTGTTTGAAGCTAAAGATATTTTATGGACGTTAACTTGGACCTCCTGCATAATTAGTCATGTATCTGGCTGTTCTCGAGTCTCAATTCATTGTGTGATGGACGATTTTGTGTTCCTTTCTTGTGTTCAGATGTGTGAACATTGTCTCGGTGTTACTGAACCTGTTTTTCTAGTAGTAATTAGTAGATCTCCTCGTTTCAAGCGTCTCAAATATTATATGCCAATGTTGTTCAAGGAACCATGAACCTGGACCCAGTTTTTGACTTCTGTTGATTGTAATGTTAACAATGGAACTGGGTCTGATCTTATAAGTCCATTGATAGGAGGCAAAAAAAAAAAAAAAAAAAAAAAAAAAAAAAAAAAAAAAAAAAAAAAAGGGTTAGTGGCTTGGATCAGGAGCATTGTGCGAGGGACAACCTCACACCTGGCAGGGATTAACGATACAAGTGGGGTTGCTGGGCCTGAAAGCTCACAAAAAGGGGTCTGCAAAGGATTTTTTGTGGGTTAGCAGGTGTGTACTTCTCAATGGGAATTGCAATCCCCCCCTTCTATGGGTTTCCACAGGTTGATGTCAGGGGAGAGGATGTGACAGGTAATCTCACACCCTAAGCTTCTCTCCGGTGAGAGTGGACTATAGGCCCAGGAAAGTGCTAAGACGGGGGACTCTAGGAAGGATAGGGATGGGGGTTCCACTGTTCCAGGTTGGCACTCAAATCTCGAGTACTTCAGAAAAGTGCGGTTTCAGTTTCTATCTTTCAAAAAAGTCTGCCTGTGTTCAGAAGATGTAAGGCCGACAACAGAGATTTAAAAAATGTGTTTCCAGCTCCACCGAGTGCAGCGTGAATCCTGGAATTGCTAAAAAAGTTCATTTCAATTTTATTTTATTTTATTTCCCCATCTTGCGGGAATCTCCATCCACTGTGGCATTACTCTCGGTCAAAAGGGCGCATCCACCCCTAGCCGACAACCTAAGCCCAGCAGATGGAGTCCGGCCAAGGCAATATACAGAGGAATCCTGGTTTGGCAGAAGCGGAGCAGGGAAATGGTAGGCGTTTGGGTAAAACCTAGCGGGGAGAAAAAGAAAGTGCAATTTTTGCACTCACACAGGCGGGAAACTTCTACCTTATTTAAACGGAAAGATCTCTTGATCCTGCATTTGCTGCCACTCTTTTGTCCTGGAGACAGTTTCAAATGGGCCCAAAAAAAAACCTGACACTTTTTAGGCTTCTAGCTGAACATCAGTTTTTGGCCTCATCTATTCTGAAATATTCTGACTTTTCTGGAAGCCGAAACTGAAACTTCACTTTTCTGAACTTATCCCCCAAAAAAGAAGGGCAACAATAAAATAAACAGGTAAGTACGTTCATGTCACTTTTGAGTACCATTGAATAAGAAAAAAAAAAACGCACCCGCAAAGAAACCAGGCACCGAGTTCGAAAAAGCAATGAAAGTACCAAGGGTTGTGGTGTCAGGCCGGGTTCCTATATACAGGGGCCGACTGTGGAGTCAGATGGGGAAAGAAAAAAGAAAAGAAAATGCCCACCAATACCTTTCGACGACCAAAATTGTCATTTCAAACTGGGCGCCCGTTTTTTCGGCGGCGCGTGTTTTTTTTTGCCTTTGTGAACTCAAAACCTGTCGTGTCCACCATTGTTTCTAACCAAAAAAGGTCCCACTTGGACCTACTCTCCGCCCCTACCGTACTGACAAAAACATTTTTTTTTTCGTTTTTTTTTCCTTCAGAGAGACCGACTAACTAAAGCCGTCCAAATACATAGAGACAAAGCGCTGTAGAAAAATATGGCTCTCAATTTCAAGAAACTTCATCCATCCACTCATCAGGTGAGAAAGCAGTTTGCGCGCTCATTCCCACAACCAAGACCATAGAGGAGTAGGAAAAGAAACCCATAATTACCCTAACAGGACAAACAATTCCATGCACACACACATGGGCATCGTGCAGGTGCACAGCACTTACCTCAGTGACCTGAGCTTCAAGTTGAGTATAGCTCACCCCCCTCCAATATGGTCCTCCTCACCCATTTAACGCTACCCCAACACTAGTGCCCAATCTAATAGGAAGCTCTACTCCAACACCAAAGTACAATGCCGGATCCGCCGCCGATCTTGAAGACCAAAGAAGCAACTTCCAGTCCGTTGATGCAGAAAAGCCACTTCTCTCAAGCTCGCCTACTTGAGGGAAACCCTAGAGTGGCTAAGTGGCTCCCTTAAGTCCAAATGCAAGGTGCAAGTGTGTGACGCCCCGAACCTCACGCCCAGCATGACTTCCTGATCGGAGTGGAATGGGGGCCTGGAAGTGCGAAAAGGGGGTGTGCCAAGGATCTTAGGAAAGTGGGGGTGGCGTCCCAGATCAGAACTGAGATCTCCTGTGGCAAGTTTTAGGGACAATCGTGCAACATGGTAGGCGCGGGTGGGGTCTGGCTTTTAAGGCTTAGAGGATGGAGTTACCATCTCCGTTGGTTCCGCCGTAGGGGGTGAACACATATTTGGTGGACCGGTGGGACGCTATGGCTGCCGTGCTGTTTAAACAGTTGCCGGCGCCGCTCGTAACAGGCTTCGGAATCCGACGAGGCTGGCCTCAGGCGGAGGTTGTGCATTCGCTGCTCAGCTTCGGTTCGGGTTCGTCGGATGAATCCCGAAGCTCTATACGCCTGGTATTGTCGGCATTCCTCGCACGATGTGCGGGGCCAGTAGCGAGCTATGGAATTCCACGGTACTACTGGGAGCTGGTGGTACGGAAGGAGGAGAGAGAAGGGAGGAAAAACGGTATTGATAGCGACGAAACCCGGAGATATATAATATTGGGTGTTATCAGTGTTAGGATATCTGAGATCCTGGGATCGGTAGTTATAGCCCAGTGAAAGTCCCCTGCACACAGTCGGTCATTCTCTGTCAAACAGGGGAATTCCGGATTTCTCAAGTTTCCCCGTCATCTAAGTTGCTCATCATCCCAATACTCGCGATATTCTGGGTTCCTCAGGCTTTCACGATCAGTGATCCAGAAGGGGGTTTCTATAGCCATAGCTGATTCGTGGCCTCTATCTCACACATCCCTTATGGTGGGTCAGGACCGAGGTCGACTTATGCAGATGTGGGCATATGTTACGACTCCACTTTTTGAGATCATTGTCGTACACTAGCGTGCGCATGAGCGAGAGCGGCTCGAACCCTGACTTTTCGCGTCATATCGGTTTTATCCCTTATGCATGCAACTACCCTCCCCTTACAGCATCGTCATTCTGGGTAAGACTCGGTCATTACACACATATCCATGTCATTTATGTGACATAAGAAAGGAGGACGGGAGCAATCGAGATTGCACAAAAATCAAAGCTGAGGAACCAAAACATTTACGATGAGCATATTCAACCAGATCCGGGATTATTGCACATCGCAGATGAATATTAGAAAGCGGCGAAATTTGAATTAAGTAAACGCTACAGAACAAAAAAAAATAGAAAACCAAAAAGATCACTTGCAAAGAGGCGCAGCGTTGACTGTTACCGCCGCGAAGCGGGAGCCTATTTAATTTCATTTGGTGATCACGGGGGGCACGCAACCCGTGTCGCTGGCCCGGCGGAAACATCCAGGAGGCACGCAGTGTTGGCCCGTCTGGGAGTGTTATGCGTTCGAGACGGAACGCTGATGGAGAGCTGTATGACGGGAAACWGTCRCGTACGGYTCGGAGGGCAGAGACTCACCTCTGACCCCTACCCATTTTAGGTTTTGCTTTAA